AATGAACTCCGTGGGCTTCATTCTATCTCCTTCATTGACTTCTTCATCCTTGTCTGATAGATCCAGAACCTCATGATCATGCTTTGATGGTTTGTCAACCACATGTTTTTCATCAAAAATGACATGTATTGACTCTTCAGTGATCATGGTTCTTTTGTTGAAGACTCTGAATGCCTTGCTCACCATGGAGTATCCTAGGAAGATGGCCTCATCTGATTTCTCATCAAAAGTGTTCAGATGATTCTTCCCGTTGTTTAACACAAAGCACTTGCTCCCAAAAATATGGAAATATGATATATTAGGCTTTCTCCCGTTCCACAGTTCATAGGGAGTTTTGTTGTGCCTTTTATAAATCATACTCCTATTTTGAGTATAGCAGGCTGTGTTAACAGCTTCAGCCCAGAAACTCTTTGGTAAGGAAGCTTCTGCTAGCATGGTTCTTACTGCTTCCTTGAGGGTTCTGTTTCTTCTTTCAGCTACACCATTCTGTTGAGGTGTCCTTGCTGCGAATGTCTGATGAAGGATTAAGTTTTCTTCACAGTAGTGAATGATGATTTCATTCAGGAATTCTGTGCCTTTGTCAGATCTGATCTTCTGAATGGTCTGACTTGCTTGGTTTTGAATCAGCTTCATGCAGTTGGTGAGTTTCCCTTGAGTCTCCTTCTTGCTATTGAGGAAGATTGTCCACGTGTATCTTGAGTAATCATCAACTACAACCAGGACATATTTCTTTCCAATTAGACTTATTGGTGTGACAGGGCCAAATAAGTCCATGTGAATAAGACTTAATATCCTTGTAGTTGAGGGTGCCGATTTTGCCTTGAAAGTGGACTTGACTTGCTTTCCTTTTTGGCAAGCATCACAAATGCTTTCCTTTCTGAATGCAGCTTTGGCAAGACCTTCTACCAACCCTTCTTTGGACAGCTTGTTGAGAGTTTTGAAGTTGAGATGACTCAACCTCTTGTGCCAAAGCCATAGAAGGTTAGTGTCACCTTTGCTGATTAGACATGCTTCCTTAACATTGTCCCACATTACTTCATAGATGTTTCTGATTCTCTTCCCAGTGAGAATGACTTCATTTGTGGAGATGTTCTTGAGAGATGCCATGTCCTTGCAGAATTCCAGGGAGTAACCTTTATCACAAAACTGACTTATGCTAAGAAGGTTATAGTTGAGACCTTCTACATAAGATACAGCTTGGATGGTTAGTCCCTTGTACACCAGATTTCCTAGCCCTTTAGTAAGGCCGAAATCATTGCTTCCTCCAAAAGTAACTCTTGGACCATCATAGGGAATTAGATTGCTCAAAAGGCTCGCATCACCCGTCATGTGTCTTGAACAGCCACTGTCTAAGTACCAGACACCTGGGTACTTAGCGACTTCCTGCATTAGGAGGAGGAAGATTTTGGTACCCAATTAAGTTTGGGTCCGGAGTAGTTAATGGTGTGTGTCCCTACATCAAGTTTGAAGTTGCAGGGAATTTTCCTTGCAGCTCTAAACTTGTTGGGATTGTAATCATAGTTATAGGCATAAAACTTCCTACGTGCAGGAGGTGCTATTTCCAGTTTCCTCCTGGCAAATCTAGGTTGATAAGACCTATAGTTTTGTCTAGGTTGTGCATAGTGTGTCCTGTGTCGTTTATAAGCATACTTAGGTGGCACAAATAGCTTCTGGGGTGGAGGATGACTATATCTTGGCATAGTTCTCCACTCAGAATTTCTTGGAAAACTCCTATCTACCCCATAATGAGTATAGCCTCGTGTATAGTGGGGGTTAGAGGGTTTTCTTCTGAAATTATTTCCTTTTTGAGATTTGTCCAGCTTCCTATAGTTCTTAGGAGGGACTACCTTTTTGGGAACTTCTGTTGGTTTCTCCTTTTCCTTTCCTTTCTGCTTATTTGGTTTGGCAGTAGGTTTAGGAGGGATGAAAGTTGTTCTCCCTTTCCTTTTGGAACTGGAGGGGTCAAACCCAAGTCCTTCACGACCCTTATGTTTGGTTGTTTCAAGAAGCTTGTCCACTGCTTCTTTGGACATAAGTATCCCTAGCTCTTTATTAAGGGATTTCACCTTTTCAGAGAGAGATTCATTTTCAGCTTTAAGTTGAGTGATCTCATTTAGTTGACTTCTCCGACCTTCAGTCAACTTGAGATTCTCTTCACTTAACAACTTGTTCTCTTCTGTTAAGGATGAATGTTTGAGATTTATTTCTTTAAAATCTTCCATCATCTTTTTGAACTAGTCAAAAAGATTTTCAGAAGTTGGTATGCTTTCATAAGAAGATGAGCAGGAGGTTTGTGAGGTTACCTCTTGATTGGCATCATCTTTGGCCATTAGGCAGAGAGTGTCATCTTCTGACATAGTCCACCTATCCTCATGGTTGGACTTTTCAGCTCTGCGCTCCATGCAGACGAGGGCTTCTTCATCCGAGCTTGAGCTGGATGACTTGTCACTTTCAGCAGCAACCATTGCCTTCTTTTTCTTCTCGTTTCTTTCTCTTTCTCCGTACTTCTCCACCTTTGGGTATGGGCATGCTGACTTCTAGTGGCCAGGCTTCCTGCAGTTATAGCATAAATAAGATTCAGGAGGGGAGTCACTTACTTGTAGTTCTCCATTTTTGAGCTTGGTGGCTGGCTGGAGGAGGGTGTGTCACAGTTCCTTGGGCATGTCCCTTCACTTGATGGGACTCTTGGAGTTGTCATCAGTGCCGTGGGGAAGGGAGTGACTTGTTCTTCCTTCTTCTTCTTCAGCTCGTGCTCATAGGTTTTGAGCTCATCAAGGAGACCTTGGACAGTGTAGTTTTCCAGGTTTCTTCCTTCTTCCTTGGCTGTGGCTTTGGTATACCACTCGGTTGGAAGTGATCTCAGTAACCTTACATTCTTTTCTTTGGGAGAAAGAACGTGGTTAAGTGAGGCAAGATCATTCAAGATTTTGTGGAACCTTTCATCCAACATATCAAATGATTCTCCGGGAAGCATTTTGAAGCCTTTGAACTTCTCAAGCATTGAATAATGAACCAACAATTACACTTGTGTGAATTTCTGCACGGTATATCTTCGCAAGGCCAATGTTGCTACTGCACTCGTGCTGGCTTTGTTGTTCCTTCGAAGGTCAAGCTTCTTCAACAACTGCAATGTCTGAACAATAGGACTTGCAAAATCAACTTGTAAGAAAGTTGATCTACACCCTTTCAATCAAGAAGTTTGATCAAAAGTTGTATCCTTCAACGTGGTGTGGTACTTGAGGCAAGGAAACCTTCAAGTGTTTGCACTATAGCTCTTTGGAAGGAGGAGGAGTTTGCTTCTAGATAAGGAGTTTAGAAATCTCTCTTTATCAAGCTTTTTGGGCTAACTGTGAATGAGATAGCTTTGTTGTTAGAGATTGCTTCGTTGTCTATTCATTCATTCACACTTCTCTAGTCTTCCAAGGGTGCTATTTATAGCTGGATTGGATAATCTATCCGTTGAATCATAATAGACTATTCGTTGCATTTGCTGGCTTCAATTTTGAATGAAGATTGCGTTTTGAAGATTCCTCATTGGAATGGGTGTTTGGACATACCCAATTGTTTGAGGAGGGATTCCTTTTTTCACAGAATCCGTCTTCTAGCTGTTGTTCAAGAATTCAGAACTGTAGCACTTTACTCTGTTTGTCTTCTAGTGCTTGTTTAGGAATTCTGGGCAGGCTCTTTAATTTTAGAGGTCCAGACTTTGTCTTCGAGTCATTTGTTCTTGAATCAGCATAATTATCTTCAATCTAGGCGTTGAAATCAAGAGATTGATTTTTCCTTACCAACGGGTAGAATTTCTTCATTCAACACTTAGATAATTTTTCTAAGTCTTTTCTCACTTGTCCGCTTTTTGAGAATTCCGGTCTTCAATGAGCTGACAAATCTGGAGGAGTCATTCTCAGACTTCCGGGTGAGAAAGAGATCCGCGCTAGTCTTCCGATTTGGAAGACTTAGCCTTCAGCGGGTTGTAGCGAGACATCCGGTTCTTATGCAGTCTTCCGGATCAGAGGATTTTCATTTGCTTGAGAAATCCTTACTTGTCTCTGACATTTCCGATCAAGATATCCAATTTCCATATCACTGAATTTGATTAAGTCTTCAGGCATCAAAACGCTTAAAGAAATATCACAGCTTAATTGGAAATCTCAAGAACTCGGTTTTAACAATATTTCTAAGAAGAAAAGTTACATTGAATATTGGGGGAGACCTAAAGTCCCTATTACATTCTAAGTACATCATCATCAAAATCTATAATATTTTTCCCAACAACGCGAAGAATCGCGTTCCTAGAGTTGGTGACTATGAGCAGGAAATGAGGAAGATCAATCCGTCCTCCAAACCTCGCCGTTCCAGCACTAGTAGCAGCAGCGCAACGTAGATGGCAACACTTAAAGAGCTAAACCAAAAGCTGCAGGAACAAATTGATAATCTAACCTCGAGCTTGTAGCTGACGATTCAGGAGGAGATAAGGAAGTTATATGGTGGTAACTTTCCTCCAGGAGGCGATGATGGTGGAACGGGGGAGGTAGGGCAGTCCGGGATTTGTTGACACCTTTGACATTTGACACTAACACTTTAATATTTAGTGTTTTTACAATATTATGAATTATGTTACATTTTCACGTGAAGTTTTTATTAATCTAGTTTTCAATATTATGAATTATGTTACATTTGCACGTGAAGTTTTACAATATTATGAATTTTGTTTTCTGCAACGGCTATTTCCGTCGATATGTCTGTCACAAATCTGCCACGGATTTTCAATTCCGTTGCAGATTCTTGGGGTTGCAAAAAGAGACAAAACCGTTGCAGGTCCATCGCAGATCTGCCACGGATTTTTAATTCCGTCGCAGATTTTAAATCTACCAAAACTTTTCTGCGACAGAACATTTTCGTTGCAGATCCGTCGCAGAATTTAAATTTGCCACGGAATTTCAAATTTTGCAACGGAAATTGTCCGTGGCATATTAAGAGTTTTCTTGTAGTGTACATATACAATACTAACCGGCCTAGTGTTAGGTGAAAACGTTCTCCACTAACCGTCATGCACAGAAGATCTCTGAATCAACCCGTGGCCTGAATCGAAACAAACAAATATAAAAAGAGCTAGATACTATTGTAACGGTACCTATTAAGGTACCCTGGTACCGCTAGGCGGTACCGTGGTGCCATTAATTTGGTACCCCCTTCCGTTCGGGCATATATACCGGCAAAGGAATTTGCTCTGTGACAGTAGCCAGGTAACATTAAACAGTACCTAGCTATCATCTGGGTCGAGAATTGCTGATTAAATTTTGGGATCAGTTCCAAACATACCACTTATCAATTTATATCCTTATAGAGGCGATTAACACATAATCTACATAAATTAGAGTAGTAAAATATATCTGATCCTTCATCAATCCAACAATCAATTTCAATAATTTTATATTTTAAATAAATCATAATCAACAATCATAATAAAATAAATCACATAAACGAATCTACGATCACTAATGCATATGAGTTAACGACATCTATGAATTCTACGTTAGAACAAACCCACGAACTCACCTCGATTATTAGACAAATTAATCAACATAAATGAGCGGTTGAATCGACGGAGAACACGACAGAGTAGCGGCGCAAACGACGGTGGCAAACTAGCGGCGTCGTCAATTGGCGGGATCAATGGTGGCGGCAGCCCTTTTCTGTGCTTTCACAACCTCCATTCAATTCTATATTTTTTTGCTTCTTGTGTGCGAGGGTATACGTTTATATATAGGAGCGGGTGGGGGGTGGTGGTTTTCCTATTTCAGGTAGTACTTGGTTTAAGAATTTAGGTTTAAGTTTTATTTATTATTATTATATAGTATATTATCTTTATACTTATTAATTGAACTCTAACATCTATTTTACTCATAATTTTTTACAACAAAGTCCACACTTAACCAACTATATACTGTTGGTTACTTTTTCCCGAGATCTACCCAACTACCTAATCATTAAATAAAAACGTTGATTTTATAAATAGTTCATATTTTTGTATCAAAAAATATTATATTTATTTTTATCAAAATAATAGCTAGCTACTAATTTGGCATTAAGGACGTTACAATTTTCTCTCCTTAAAAGACACTTCATTCCTAAAATTCCTTAATCTAACCACCACTCCAAAGACAAAAACATATACAACAACAAAGCCTTATCCCACAAGAGATATTTATTTAAATAGAACTAAAACATAATGACTTTCTCAATATAGAACCATATGTTTTTATTTCCCAATATAGGACCTTTGGTCATTATCAAATAGTCATTATTCAAGTAAATGTCCATCATTATTGGATATTAATCCTCACACTAGGTCATTATTAAGTCTTATTTAAGGAATACTAGCTGGGCATGCACTACGTGCATGGGTGCCCAGTTTGATTTATTATTTTTTATACTTAAAGGTGTGTGAAGTTGGATACTTATTGGGTAGGTATTGTAAGTATTATAAATAATAGTGAGTGCTATGACAGAAAGAGGTTGGTATTTACAACTAAAACAGTCAAAAAGGGGTTATGTAGGCATCTAAGATATTACAAAAAACAAGATATCTAGGAGAGAGGGAGCAACTCTGATTTTTGTTGCTTAGATATCAAAGAGTTTGCAAAAAAAGGTGTTTCATATATTTCATGTTAATAAGATTGAAACAAGGACATTGAGTGATCATTCAAGCTTTATTTGTTTGGTAATTGGCTGACAACATTTGGAGTGCACTAGTGCAGGTGTGCGTGTTTGTTTCCAGCATGCAGAGCAGCTTGAAAGTCATGTGTGAACAATGTGAAGGTGTTTGCCCTTGTGGTCTGTTCTTTCTGCAGGTGGCCTTTTATGGTGTGTTTTTTTGGTAAAGTTGGTGAAGAAGTATACCTTTTTGTAGTGATTCCATTATGATTCTCACAGTGTAGGAAATGTAAGTTAACTCCTTCAATATAGTAGTAGAAACCTTGACAAACTCCAGATTTGTGACACGTCCTTTAATTTAGAAAGTTTGTGCCCATTAATGTATGTGTAATTAAGTATTTGTTTGAATCAGGTATATATATATTCCAATTCTTGCACTTCATAAATATTTCAAGTGGTTCTTGATACAAGAGACTGTATAATTTTATCAGCAAGGAATTATGAATGGAGACAAAAAATTTATGAGCAGATACCTTCTCGCTACGCAATTCCAGTGAAATAAAATTGAATTTGAAATGACTAAATGGGTATTTGACCATACCGTTTTGCTTATCATCAAAACAGGGTATTGTTTTTACTAAAAAATGACTTGACAGGATACCCACTTCTACAAAAATAAAATAGAGAAACACAAAGAACTCAAAGAAGGCTTGATAATCTTTAGAACAAGAGCGAGAGAGGGCTGAGAATAGTTCGAAGACACCTACCTAACGAGTTCAACCTCTTGTTGCTTTTAAACATTTTGTAATTATTCAATAGCTGTTAATACTTTGGGAAAATATTTATCATTGATCCTTCTTCACTGAAACATACTCCGTATAAGCTTAATTTTTATGCAGAGAAAATAGCATATGGCTTGCTTTGAAATCAAAGAACTCAAACTGAAAAGCTAAAATCATGAAGCGAACATCAAATATTGAAAAAATTCTATTATTTAATGACTTGGTCTGCCTGCAAATCGAGCTTCCAAGAACCACACACCACGATGTCTCTAAAAATTTGCATAAGGGAATTTATGATAGGAGTAAAATAGTCAATTCCGTGTCCTGTTTTTGGAACATGTACTAATCTATTATTTAAATCAAATATCGCTGGAAATTACATTCTGATGTTACCTCTTCCTTGAGTAGGGGGTGTATCCTTTGCGCATAAGTTGCTACAATTAACAAAAAGCAAGCACATTAAATATTAACACACTAAATCAAAGGAATTAAACCACCCTCAAAAATAAAAAACAAAAAGGAGATGAAAGCAATAGAAAATTCAAAAAAAAGATGGATAGATTTTTAAAAACCTACATCAATTTAAAAATGAAGAGAAAAAAATCATAGTTTTGAACATACCTCAAATGAGTCAAATCAGAGAAGCACTGGTGGCAACTGATCCGAAGCTGACCGTAAGAGAGATTTTCGTATGGCAGAGTGAGAGGCATGGTTTTTTCCAGATTAACACAATAAAATCATCAACACAAGAATTTTAAATTAAAATTAATAGAAGAATTTTGGTATACTACTCTGAAAATAACAATACTCGCAATACTCGAAATTTTAAAAAAATTACAATGCTCGCAATTTAAAAAAAATCTAAAAATTGGAATTCAAATAGTAATAGAATGAAGAGTAAAAAAATAAGAATTTGGCGTATGTGAATTGTGAAACGTCAAACGACATGATCCTTTACTACTCGGAATCAATAATTGATGGATATGTTGCTAAAAATTGACAAAAGAATAATAAAATCACCGTTTGCTCAGTCAAGTCATCATTGAAAATGAACTAAATTAGGGTTTGCTGTTTTTTTTTGTTTCCATATAGCTATGTGTAAACAGGACTCATGTATGCAATCCAAGAATGATAGATAGCCCTAATTGCGCAGGAGCCGCGAGGAACCCTTTGTTTTTTTAATACTAATGTATGCAATCCAAGAATGAGAGAAGAAAAATTATAGTCTAATACCTGGGCAGAAGAAATTTGGAGAGGCTTCGGCTCCTATGCAGTAAAGATTAGCAATGTTACGGAAATGAGTAGAAAGCGGCTCAAAGGATGACGAAATCTAAACGGAAAGAAAATGGAAAAAAAGCTAAGCCTAACAAAATAGGCTCGGTAGAAAAAAGTTTAAATCCTAAATTGGGAAAGTCATTATGTTTTAGTCCTATTTAGTACAAATTTCACTATCCCACAATGTGGGCTCGGCTACATAGATCAAACGATGCCATTGCGCCCTATCGTGTATCATATTTGTTGTGAGATTGTTCACACGAAGATCTCCCTTGATCAAGCTTAGCTCTCATATCTTTATTCCATATTCTATCCATACGCGTATGACCGCTCATCTAACAAAGCATCTTCATTTCCGTCACACTAATCTCGTGTTCATGTTCACCCTTTGCTGCCCAACACTCTCTTCCATACAATATAGCTAATCTAAATATAGAATTTAAAATTTTGGATTTAAAATTTAAAATATTAAATTATAAATATAAAATTTATAGAGTACATATTTAAAATTTAAAATATAAAATTTGTACTTATATATTTAAAATTTTAAAATATAAAATTTTTATTTTAATTCAAATTAATAATTAAAAATAAAAAAGTATAAATTTAATATTTAAAATTTAAAATCTAAAATTATAATTTAAAAATGAAAAATTTAAGTTTTAAAATTTTAAAATATTAAAGTTTTAAAATAAAATTTATAAATTTCGAAATTTAATCTAAATTACATAGTATGTATATTGAAAATACTAAAAATTTAAATTTTAAACTTAGAAATTTGAAATATACATTTTTAATAAAGAACTAAAAATTATTAATTAAAAAATTAAAGATCAAAAGCATAATAAAAATAAAAAACTAAAGTTTTAATTTAAAATATAAATATTTAAAAATTTGTTGTTTTGAATTTAAAATTTAAAACATTAAATTAATAATTATGAATTCAGAATTCAATATTTTAAAATTAAATTTTAAATTTTAAATTCCAAATTCAAAATTTTCAAATTTAAATTAAAATTTTAAATAAAAATTTAGAATTAAAATTAAAAATAAAAATTAAAAGTTAAAAATTAAAAATATGAAAATTAGAACATAGAAATTAATAATTTAAAATAAAAAAACTAAGAACTAAAAGTTCTACTAAAGCATCCTGCCCATTAAAATAGGTAATTTATTAGTCATTTAGAACAACTGACACAAAAAATCCATGGTCCACAATTGAAAATACATTTTTATAACAATTTTATATATATATATATATATATATATATATATATATATATATATATATATAAAATTTTGTGTTAACAAAGAAAGAAATTGGAATTATAATGTAATTCTATATCAATTCATTAGTTATACCAATCAAATGATTTAGAATGGAATTAGAATTTAATTTCATTCACTTCAATTAGATAAAATTTATATGTAATTCAATTTAGTTCTTTAAATCAATTTCATAGATTTTAAAGGATTTGTGATATCTGAATATAATAAATTTGAAATATATATTCTCGAAAGTCAGCATAAATGAATATCTGGTTACCAAACGTAACCTTATGTTGGTCTCTTGGAACGGCTGACGATTTGTTCTTTAGTCCCAGTCTCTGTCCTTCATGTACTCCGTACAACTCACACCTCTGAGTTACGCTTCTGTGATCTCTCGTCGGGTTCTACTTTCCCAAACTGATTTTTTCCTTTCGACCTTTCGGGCGGGTTGTATTTTCTCTTCGTCCACCGGAAAGCTCGGATTCGGTCTCTCGGAACCTAAACCCCTCTCCTTTTTTTCCTTTTGCCTGATCTGAGCAAGCATCTTCTTGATCCGTCGATCTGAAGCATGGAGAGGATCGTCGGAGGAAAATTCAAACTCGGACGTAAGATTGGAAGTGGGTCGTTTGGAGAAATTTACCTTGGTAACTGATTATCCTTTTTATTTTTTCCTTTTTTCCTTATTAGTTTAAACTTTGTGCTGAATTTGGCTTTTGTTGTTGGTTTGGTCTGTTCTCCAGCCACACATATCGATACGTTTGAGATTGTCGCCATCAAAATTGTAAGTTAACTCCCCTTATACTGCTTCTGAATTGGCTTTAGGTCTATTGCATGATCACGCAGGTTTACCTTTTTTGCGTTTTTTCAAAAATACATAACCAAGTGATATGTTTGATTCGTTCAACTTTATGCATTTTGAATATTGGCGGAGTGTTAATGACACTAATGATATTTTCATTTTTTTAAATCCATAAGGGCGTTGTATCTCGTAATGTGCTATCACAAGTCAGTAGTTGCTGCCTTCATCAACATGTTTGCACGCCTCACTAGCAAGAATCTTTTCACATCTATTTTGCATCCCTTCCTTTTAGAGCAATTAATACAATGCCCCACGACTATGGTGATAATTAATACTACAACACCTAGCTAGTGATGCCCTTTGAGTGGGGTCTATCAGGTCATTATACCACTTTAGTCGTATATCTCCAAACTCTTCTATCTGGAATCCTATCCTTCTTGAGCTGTCAAAGCCTCATGTCTCTAACCGCCTTGCCTCTGGTACGGTCCACCTTTAACCCTCTCTGAATTGTACCGGGCATTTGACTCATGTGTATATGTTCAAAGTTCAAAGCATCTTCCTCTCTTCATATATCTTATTCTCCAGGACCTTAAAAGGAGACACTGCCCCTTTGTTTTAGATGCCATCTTTACTAACCATATCACTCCTTGTATGTTTTCATGTCTACCCAAACATCTTCATCTCTACCACCCAAACTTCTTCACTTGAGTGTTCTGAGTGTTCTTTTCTGGTTGACCCTCTGTCCTACACTATACATTGTAGCCACTTGATCTAGCAAACGTGCTCGTCGGGTTGAGTTCAGGTTTCAATTCTTTCACATCTGAGTATCCTCAAGTTTGGGTGAGTTTAGGCTGATAAATGCATTATGAGCGTTTGATTTTAAAATATTAAAATTTATTTTTGCACTTTTGCTTCACATAAAAATGCGATAGAATGTTAAGTTATACCTTGTACTAATTGAAGCTATAATAATATTCTCCTTTGAAATATTCATTAAATTTTAAATATAAAACAAATTATTACAAATTAAATAAAGTTCTTCAATATATACAAATTTTTAAAGAAGCAAAATGACAATACTTTATCATTACAAGCTTGTTAGAAAAGATAAGTCTATCTTATAAAATGAAGTAAAAAGAAACAAAATAATCTAATAACATGATATTTATCACTTTATATTTCGTACTCAAGTACATGCTTTGAAAAGAGCTTACCTTAGCTGGCACGTTGGGTCATGTTCAATCAAGTTTTACCCATTTTGACTATCATTTCTGGTTTTTTTAGATTTATTATTCAAAACCCAATATTTTTGAGTCGAGTCTCAAGTCAAGAAAAGGTCCAAACGATTTTTGTTGAGCTAAACCACGACTCAATAATCTTGCCTCTAAGTTTGGTTAGAACAATCCCATTGCCAAGTTCTTTAGAAGTGGGCCTCTAGTTCATGTAGCCCTTTCTTTTGTATAACTAGGGAAATGCCCATGAATCTCTTCATCAACTCGAATCATAAATCTGAAGTAGTCAAAACTATCCATCTTGCCAATAGGTATATCAATCTTCACCTCAACCTTTGGATTAGGTGGCAAGTCATTGACATTAATAATTACAACTAATGTACTCCATCTTAGTCCTAAATTCCTACAGAGTCTCAAATCTTTAGAGTGCTGAGTGTGCCTTCCTAGTCCCCACATCTAATATATCATTTATCCTCACTTGTCTCGTCAATTCATAAAATACCATCAACAAGTAACACATACTATGGTACTTCCCCGTGATATGTTTAGTTAGTTTATTCATCACCAAAGAAAAAAATGGCCAAACACAATGACATGATGTATCCCGCTCAATTGGGAATTGATGTGAATTTCCTCCCACTCTCCTCCTCACTATATATGGTCATGGCTCAATCGTACCTTAACCGCTCTTCAAAATGATACCCTTCTAAGTAACACTACACTCATAAGCCTTCTCCATATCACTAAACACAACGCGTGATGCTTACCTTGGTTAAGCGTTCGTGCATAGAAGACGCAAGGGGGAAACTCGACCCATTAGGGCGCTTGGATAAGTAATTATTATATTTTTATGTCTTGATTTCAATTACTTATTTGGTAGCTTCATTCACAAACGTAAGAAAAAATGTAAAGGAAAAAATAATATTGATCTTTCCCCGTTTGTAGGGGCAAGCAATCCATGACTAGCTTCTCATAATTAGAGATTTGACTTCAACCATTGATGATTTTATTAATGAATATAACACCTCAATTTTTTTCTACTCCCAAGAGTCTTGGTGAGTAATTTAATCGAGTCCCAATCTATTACACATTACAATATTGCTTTTAGGAATAGTAACTAAGCTAGAATACTAATATTAATAGAAATTATTACTACCAATAGTACCGATATAAGGACTACTTAGTAATAGAATAGTAAGGGGGGATCGGATGTGAAACTATTTCTTAGATTTCTAAAGAATAATAATAATAATAGAATAGTAATACAACAACATTACCCTAGTGCCTCAAAGGCTCTTCCGCCCATTGTGGGGTAAGGGGGGATTAGATGTACGCAGCTAGCTGTCCCATATGTTAAAAACATAGAGCGACTGTTTCTAGATGACCCATGATCAGCATTGAAATTTGAATTGACTAACTATTACTCCACTATCAAAATATGCACATATAGTTTAAGAACCATTTTGCTTTTTTCCATCTTACTCCAAAACCAAATAATAGAATAGTAATAATGATAATATTAATAATAATAATAATACTAGTTGTAGTACTAGGAATAAAAAAAATATTAATAATGATGAAAATAAGGAAAATTCATGTGATTACTCCTAAAAATATGGCATTTTACAATAATACTCCCAAATTTGACAATCACATTAGTACTTCAAGAAACTAGATTTTTTTACATGGTCACTCTGTGTTCCACCAAGGGTCTAATTCCTATTAGTTATTGCTTATGTAGATGAGAAAATAAGATTTTAATAATAAAAATATTGAGTTGCCCTTTTAAAATAAGAAAAATAAGTCATTCTTCACGAAATGCAAAAAAAGACAAAACCGTAGTGGTCTTCTTCTTTCACGAACCTTATCCCAAAAGAATCACAAAGAACAAAATCATATCGGATTCTTTCTTGAGAACAATTTTTGTTATCTTGTCCCAAAATTAAATTTACGAAGTCCTACCAACATCCATTCTTTCTTCATGAGCATTTGAACCATAATAATCATCGAATCCTCTTTTTCTTTTTGAATCTTCTTTCGTGATATCAATGAAACAGTTTTAGTACAATCAATCAAATTTAATTTCTTTTCACAAATCGACGATTGAAGGTTGTGAAAATGAGAGTACATCTAAGATCAATAGCAAGCAAATATGATTTCTACCTTAGAGAAAAAATACAGGAGTATTATCTCTCACTTCAAAGCAATTAGGGCTCTGTTCCTACTCATGACTCACTAGGAAAGAAGTTTGATCTAGATTTGGGAATTTAAATGAAATGGAGATAATAGAAATGACACACGGTGACATGGATCATATTAAAAGGTAGGACAACTCCATTGCCACTAGTTGTCCTCGGTTGCACATGGTGTCCTTATGGTTCAAATGGTTGTGACAATTGAAGATTTGATTTGTGTTGACACTTGACATATCATAAGTATTACCATGTATTATTTGTGTGAGTATAAATAAGAGGGAATCCTAATATAATTCGACTTCAGAAAAGCAATAACAGTCATGATTAAAAGAGTACAGAAACATAACTTAGGCAAGTTGAATTAATGTATGACCTAATTTTTTTAAAAAGGGAAACACACTAAGCCCAAGGCACCTAGCTGACCCATTTGGTTTTGATACTTTATTCTCATGAATGGGTTCATAATACCTTCATTTTATGTAATATGATAGAAGTAGCTGGGTAGCTCCTTCGTATAATTAGAATTTTTGTTTTCTAAATATAATTACTCGTGTTTAATCCATTTTAAATTGATATTTAAATAGATTTCAAAACAAAGGTTTTCTTTGTACCAACCTTTTTCTTATTTTTGATCTGCAATCACTAGCAAAGTCGGGGAGACGTTTGTCATAAGTCCATGGCACATAAGACATAACCTTGGTCTCAACCCACATAATCTAGTTCTAGTTCCCGCCACCATAGGCATTCGACAAGCACCGTGTTTTCGAAAGTTGATTCTTTTTTCAAATACATCGCGACCAAAAGTCGCAAATCAATCTGCTTGAACTGACCATCGGCCTTCCCAAACTTGGTTCTTAGGTTTTTTATTTTTTTATTTTACGTTGCTGGTTAAGTATTCCTTTAATTAATGCCCAGTAATCCTAGCTTGCATTTTGCCCATTTTTTCAATTTAAAAAGTTCATGCCCTCAACGGTATGTTTGGTTGAAGGGAAGTGGGATGGAAATTAAGTAGGGGGAGGGAAGTGGGAAGGAAATTGGGAAACTTCCATTGTTTGGTTGAAGAGAAATATGAAGAGAAATAGATGGGAAGTAAGAGGGAAGTTCAAATGTAATGAAAAAAAATTTCCACCCAATTTTGGAGTGAAATGGAAAGAAATTTCTCTCTTGTTTCTTTATCTCTCCTCTTTAAAATTAAAACGTGCTTGTTGATTCGCCTACTTCCTTTTCAAGGTAGTAACCCACTCACCCATTAAGCTAGTGTTTATGTGGATATGTTATAAATGTCGTGGTGCTGGAGCTGCAAAAGTTTGTGGTGGAGGTGAGGAGGATTGGTTGATAGGTGGATGGCTATTAAGCTAGTGTTTATGTGGATATGTTATAAATGTCGTGAGTGTCTTTGCTCCCTCATGCCGGCTTGGATGATGAAATTAAGACGGAGTTTTGGGAAGCATCGAACGGGGTGATAGGAGGAATTTCATGGGCTGAGAAAGTCTTCATTAGAGGCGACTTCAGTGGCCATGTTGGTGACTAGGCCAAGGCTTTTGAGGAGGTGGAATTTGCTAGAGCTAGTGGTGGACACCAACTCCCTTTTCCCTAAGGGCCTGTTTGGTTGGGTCATGGGTGGGAGGAGAGGGAAGGAGAGGGAAAATGAATCCATTCTCTTATTTGGTTAAAAAGGGGGGGGGGAGGGAACCCAAAATTTTTACTCTAAATCCTTCCCAAAATAACTCTTCAATGTTATTTTTGGGACGAATATGATGCCTGACTCGAGGGAGAATGTGTTGGTCCCACTCTTCAAGGGTAATGTGATACTTAAAGTTGTGAGAATTATAGAGGCATCAAACTTCTTAGCCATCATGAAGGTTGATAACATATCAACGAGGTTAGGCTGCGGGAAGGGCTATACATTTTCGGGAATCAATTTTCATGCCTAGTCGATCAACCACAAAGGCCATTCACCTTCTGTGCAGGTTGATAGAAGAGTATATGGCTAAGAAGAAGGATTTCTATATGGTGTTTATTGACCTCGAGAAGGCGTACAACAAGGTGTTAAGAGAGATTTTGTGGAGGTTTCTTGAGTTGAGTGGGACCAGATGGCATACATTTTAGTACTCAATGATATGTATGGCGAGGTTATAGCAGGTCTGCCCTTTGCCCCTTCATGTTTGCTTTGGTGATGGGTGTCCTGCTTCATGTGGAGGTTCCTTGGTGCATGCTTTTTTCTGATCGGGATGGGGACTGATAAAATTTAGGATTGGTATAGACAATTGGATTGGGTAATAAGACACTTGGGCTGAACCACATTAAAAGATTGAATCCAATCGATTAGTTATTTCAACTCAAGAGCTTATATACCGATTATTTTGCTCTTGAACTTCCAATGTGGGATGACATTCTAACACTCCCCCTCAAGTGGTCAACCAGTTAGATTCAAAATGGCCCGGTTGTCCACTTGAGGGGGAGTGTTAGAATGTCATCCCACATTAGTTCAACTCAAGAGCCTTATATACCGATTATTTTGCTCTTGAACTTCCGATGTGGGATGACATTCCAACACTCCCCCTCAAGTGGACAACTGGGCCATTTTGAATCTAACCGGTTGACCAATTGCAAATAAACTCCCATTCCCTTGAATTTTTTTGAGCGCCAACACCTAAAGGACCACGAGCCGCTGGGTATGGACTTCTAAAGGACTTCTAGACGAGCAATCGTGTCAAATGGGCCACAGGTCGTTGGGTACATCCTCCATACGGACAACTGGGCTAAAGACTAACGAGCCGCTAGTAATGAACATCTAGACGGACACATTGACAAATGAGGTGGGCCAAAACTTTCTCCGATACCATGAAAAATTTAGGATGTGTATGGACAACTGGATTGGGTAATAAGACACTTGGGCTGAACCACATTAAAAGATTGAATCCAATCGATTAGTTAGTTCAACTCAAGAGCTTATATACCGATTACTTTGCTCTTGAACTTCCAATGTGGGATGACACTCTAATAGGGAGTTTGACGGGGATGTTGCACATCATATTGGGGTGGGTTGGTCTAAGTCGAAATTGCCTCAGGGGTTTTATGCGACAAGATTTTGGCTATGATTAAAGGAATGTTCTATCGGTTCGTAGTCCGTAGTGAAACCAGCTATGTTGTATGGTGCAAAGCAGTTAAGAAAACCGACATTGGATTCAGAATGAGATTATGTTAGGACGGGTAGGAGTGTGGCACTTGTGGAAGATAAGCTGCGAGAAGCTAGGCCGAGGAGGTTTGGGCATGTGAGAGCTTGTTATCTTCGTCTGATTTGATTAGATCTTATTTGGTTTTATTAAAGTCTCATCTGATCTAATTGTGGTTATTTTTGAAGTTGTTTATGATCATCAACAACAACAACAACAACCCAGTTAAATCCCACAAGAGTAGGGTCTGGGGAGGGTGTGTGTACGCAGACCTTGCCCCTACTCGAAAGTAGAGAGGTTGTTTCCAAAGAGACCCCCGGCTCAACGTCGAAAGTTGCATTGCTTGACTAACTGCTACTTCATTAATTAAAGAAGCGCAGACAGTTTAGAGATCCATTTTGATTTATTCCATCACACCCCAAAGCCAAAAAATGGTGAAATTTTGGCACCAAATTTGGGCTGCATTCCCAAACAACCCGACTCAGACAGCACCTCGTGGTGCGACAGGGTCTAGGCCCGACGGGGCTCTCACCCTCTCCGGCGCCCCTTTCCAGGGGACTTGGGCCCAGTCCGCCGCTAAGGACGCTTCTCCAGACTACAATTCAAACGGCAAAACCATTCGATTCTACGGCTGGGCTGTTCCCATTTCACTCGCCGTTACTAAGGAAATCCTTGTAAGTTTCTTCTCCTCCGCTTAATGATATGCTTAAACTCAGCGGGTAGTCTCGCCTGACTTGGGGTCGCAATCAAAGAGCCAAAACCGGTAGCTTCATAGGATCCCAACGCCACAATGAAGTCGAGCAAGGCTGGCAACTATGCACACCTGGCACATCCACCGCTCACCAAGACATCAACAAAATCAAGGACAACATTTTCGGCCAACCATGCCCAAGGAAGGGCCCAGGAGGCCAGGATCTATTCCCACTCCACACACGAGAGGGGAGACATAATGCATGACACCCAAGCAGACGTGCCCTCAACCCAATGGCTTAGGCGCAACTTGCGTTCAAAGTTTCGATGGTTCACGGGATTCTGCAATTCACACCAAGTATCGCATTTCGCTACGTTCTTCATCGATGCAAGAGCCGAGATATCCATTGCCGAGAGTCATTTTTATTAAAAGGATGCGAAGCTCACAGGCAACATAATTGAGCTCTGAAGTTGTTTATGATCTGATAAGTAATAAGTAATAAGAATAAGTTGGAGAGAACAAACTCTGAGGCGGCGGATCACTGATGCCCATATGTGGAGATGTGAATTGCTTGCGGTGGTGGATAAGAGTAGGGAAGGGGTAGACCTAGGAAGAGTTGGAAGGAGGTTATTCGACATGCCGTAAGATTTTTGGCCCTTACTGAGGATATGACGCTAGATAAGAGCTTGCAGAAGTTAGGATTAGTGTAGTTGGGTAGGCGTTTGGGTTGGTGGTACTTTCTGCACATGTCATTGTATGCCATTTATACTTGGTGCTCTCTACATGTTGTGTTTTTCTATCGTTAACCTTAGTTTGCTCTTTGCTTCTTTTTTCGTACTATGTGCTAGCTTTGCTGTTGTGTTTGTTAATGTTTAGCACTGGGGTCTTTCAAAAACAAGTTAAACAACCTCTCTACTTCTGAGGAGTAAGGTCTTGCGCACACACCCTCCCCTCCCAGACCCTACTCTTGTTGGATTCAACTGGGTTGTAACTAGTAAGACAAGATTTTGTGCATCAGTGGAGGATATTATTTGTATTCGTTTTGCTAGACAACTTAAACTGAGCCTGCTTGTGATGTTTTTCTGACTTCATTTACATAAGTTTCTTCCCACATTCACCATCAGTACTGCATCAAATATTCATCGTACACCATTTAGTTGTATCCACCCCACGATGCACAACGTAATTCACTGTTCTAATCATTATATAAATCTGTCTTTGACAGGAGAATAATAAGACCAAGCATCCTCAGCTTCTTTATGAGGCCAAGTTGTACACTATTCTCCAGGGAGGAAGTATGTTTTCGTTTAACAAATAAGTACTCCGTATTTAATAGAAAGTACATGTGAAGTTACTTCTTTCGGGACAAAGGGAGAGAGTAGAGTAGCTAAAAAATTACATGCTTTTATTTACTATTTTTAACTAGGTGGTATTCCCCATATAAAATGGTCTGGAGTGGATGGAGAGGACAACGCTTTAGTCCTTGATTTGCTAGGTCCAAGCCTAGAGGATCTCTTTGTATACTGTGGTAGAAAGTTTTCATTGAAGACTGTCTTAATGCTTGCAGATCAGATGGTAAATTCAAAACTCTGATACAGATAAGGCCGAAATTCCAATGTCTTACACCTGATATAATGTGATACTCACAAGCTCTTAATAAGGATTCTTTATAATAAACACGTTACTTTTTCTATTGAGCAGATATCTAGGATTGAATATGTGCACTCTAAAGGCTTTTTACATAGAGATATCAAACCAGATAATTTTCTTATGGGCCTTGGTCGAAAAGCCAATCAGGTACTAATACCCTGTGAGCTTCAGCTCTATTATTTCTCCTCTGTCGTATGTACTTTTATTATTTCATATTCATTTGCAAGACAGTTTTTTCGTATTATATTAGGTTTTGTTTTTGTTCCTGTACTATTCGTGTTGAAGACGAACCATTCTCCCCGCCTCTCTTAGTGATTCTCATTCAACTATTTACTCTTTAGGTTTACATCATTGATTTTGGTCTTGCTAAAAGGTATAGGGATGCAACTACAAATCGCCACATACCTTACAGGTACTGAGATCCCTTGTTTCATGTCAGCCAAGCAATCTACTTAATCCATTGTTTGTGTGTTAGTCTGGTATTATCTTGATTGTCTTCGTTGTATGAAATTGTGACTTTGTGACAATTGCATCATACTGTTTTAAACTTCTACGTATTCCAATCAACTCTCATAAGTTTGGGCTTGCTGCAATGGTGTGTGACTTGGTTCCATTTTGAACAATAGCAAATTGGGAATTTTGAACATAGTTATTGTTGTTTTTCATTTACTCAGGGAGAACAAAAATTTAACTGGAACTGCACGTTATGCAAGCTGTAATACTCATCTTGGAATTGGTGAGCATTCTTAACGCACTAAAGCAGACTTGTTCTTTTTTGTCATTATTAAGCAACTCTTAATAAAGAGAAGTGCAGGAAAAGAATCGTAAAGCCTCTGTATTAAACTTGGATATAAGTTGTAGTAGTTGATAGTCATTGGGTACTACCTTCTGATTTCCCATTTTGATTTTCATGAGTTCGGCTATGTTTTACAGAGCAAAGCAGGCGGGATGATCTTGAATCTTTAGGATATGTACTTCTTTATTTCTTGAGAGGGAGGTAACAATCTTTGATATTTTCTTTTCAATGTTTCTCTTAATATATGCTGTTAATATGCATGATTTAACCTTGGACGTGAAGTAACTTGTGAATTTGTAGAGCAGCTTACCATGGCAGGGTCTCAAAGCTGCTACTAAGAAGCAAAAATATGATAAAATATGTGAGAAAAAGTTATCAACTCCTATTGAGGTGTGTGTATAAATTCTTTTTGGCTTTGAGATGTCCAGTTATGCTTAACATTCTTATTTTGCTTTCTTTCTGAACCGAAGGTCTTGTGCAAGTCTCATCCGGTAGAGTTTGCCTCATTTTTCCATTACTGTCATTCAATGACATTTGATCAGCGGCCTGACTATGGTTTTGTGAAACGCCTGTTCAAAGAGCTCTTCACTAGGGAAGGTTAGTCTTAAATTCATTTGCAACGGATTTTTTCAATGGCGTACCTTAAGGATAGTGAAATGCTACATCTGCATGTCATGATTCTTCATTTGTATATTGATTTGATATTCCTTTTGATGTAATGTGGTTTTTCTTCGTCTCTCTGTTTGCCCCACATTTATTGCACTAAATATCACGTGATATTTTGTATTTAATGCAGGGTATGAGTTTGATTACATATTTGATTGGACCATACTAAAATACCAGCAGGCGCAATCAAGTAGAACACATCAACGGGTATGTTGGTCTATAGCCAACAGTTGGCGCTTGCCACTATCTATTCTTCCCTTATACATTCTGGCCTACAGTTTGATAGTTATAATGTTTTTCACATATGCTGCGACTGATTTATCCTCTAACTAGCAATGTTTTTCCTCCTCTATAGTAGTTTGATTTAGTTGAAATTTTAACAGCCACTGCATGGAGAGAGCAGCCAGAAAGCTCCGATGAATACAGAAAAGCATCAAGGTCAGGTGAACCAGTTGTACTTCTTTGATTGAAGTGTACATCTGACTCTCTTAAACTAACTGCATTTTTTTCTGTTAGCTTGCACAAAATTCTGCCATATAGTGCTGGCTCAAATTTTAACCTGTAAGCTTGCACACAATTTGCCATGCTATTTTCCATGGCCTGCATTGAAAAACCATGAATTTGGTTGCTCTGGTTATGATGGCTCCGTGTCTCAATAATCCAAAATTATATGCCAACTTCATATATACAGGAAATCTAAGACCTATACATTATAATTGTCTAGCATGATAGCATCAAGATTGTTTAACATCTGTGCTTGCTTTTCATTTTGATGCAAGGCATTCATAATTTCATATGACTATTTATTTCCCTCCTTACAGTTGGAAATTATTCTCATTACGCGGCCGAGTTAGCAAAATCAAGTGTTCCTATTAATCCTCATGCTCGTGCACAGTTCAAGTTGTCTACGAATAAGCACTTAGCTTCGGGCAATCTTGATGCAGTTGATAGAAGTGTAAGTCATACCACCTACCCCAAAATGGATGTCAGATTTGTTATTTTTAGTTTAAACTGAATCTTTTTTAAATTCTCATTGCCTTCTAACAAATCTTTATAGTTAATATTCCGTACTAGATAGTAAAAAAATATTATTTAATAGAGAAATTTTTTGTAGTTTTGAAAGTATTAGATATATACTGTATTATCTGATGAGGTTAGAGTCATGCTACCATGGCCCCAAGTTTGACACCATGGATGACAACCGTCTTTAAATTTCAGACGTATGGGCATAATTATTCACTCAGACAGTTTCTGTGAGATTTCTGACAGTTGTCCGTGGTGTCAAACTTGAGGTTATACTAGCATTATTAGGTAGTGCATAATGCGTAAGCGTAGTGCGTTTGTAGACGTTAGACTCGGGTTAACATGCAAAATATAAGTAAGACTTTTTAAGATAACATAAAACACTTTAAATAATATAAGAAAGCATTTAGTAAACTGCTACGAAGCTAATATTAAAATTCAACAACTTCACAATAATGAGTTAAACAATTCTAGCATCCCATAAGGTAAAATAGTGCGTCCTGAAAAAAAGGAGAGAACTGCATCAGATAGAAGAATGCTAATGATGATCATCACCGGCTGGTGTTTTGGAATTTGGATAAAAACCACTTGCAACTCCTCCACCCACATCATCATCGGCATCGAGACCTTGGTTTAGCCCATATTGTGCGGTATTTGCCATCTCCATCATCCCCACTTCCAACTTAGCGTCACATCAGCTTTCCTCATTTTATCCCCATTTAGGGGTGTCGATCCTCATTCCCTCCCCATTCTTTTTTTAATTTTTTTAAATATTTCTTTTTAAACATTTTATATAATTTTTAAAATTAAACAAAAACAAAGTTAGAAACTAAGAGCTTAAATTTAAAAAAATAAAAAATTGATATTAGAAACTAAAAATGGCAGGCGGGGGCAATGTTCACATTGGTACTGCGTGGCACGCTGAATGACCCCGAGCCCAATACCGCACAGCCTAAGAAGCGCGCCTAAGATGCGGCCATGCAATTAGTAAAATGCCTCAGGACATCAGTGTGCTGCGCCTTCTTGTGTATCCATTAGCCTTACGTAAGTCGCAAGCCATATGCTTCCTGCGCCGCCGAGAAGAGGTGGTTTTATTGCATATAAAACCGGGTCGGGTCGGATACTGTTTTTTTAAAAAACAATACGTAATTTAACGCTAGCCTCACACTTGAGTACTTTTCTTGCGTCTTCATCTTCTCTGAATCACATCTCCTGGTATACTCTTCATTCAATCAACTCTTTTCTCACTTCCTTCACTCTATAATGTGTCTCCACATACTGCATAATCTCACAGTTGACTTCTTCTCTGTTTCAATTTTTTTACTCTAATGATGCAAAATTGCGAAGTATGTTTTAATTTCAGCATGTAGTCTTGGACAACTTAAAGCAATACTGTTTCTGTCTTTTATCTTTCATTTTTTTGCTAGATGTTTTGCAACACTTTTTAAATCCTAATGATGTTTTAATTTCATTTTGAATTTTTTAACCAAAAGACATTAAGTTTGGAGTGCAATGCATTATTTAGTTTTGTTATTATTGATCTTTTCAAGATTTCTTTTATTGATATACTATTATTTATGTGTTTAGGGTGTTGGATATCTTGTGAAACACATATATGTGTATATATAATTGAGTTATTCTCTTTGGGTTTCGTCCCTAAGAAAAATCTGGGTTTCCCTAATTGAGATATCTTGGCAGAAAATTTCCTTCTTGTTATTCTCTTCGGGTTTTGTCCCTAAGAACTTAAATGTGTAACACTATCTGTATGACCAAAGGCTCATAGAGAAAAACATAGAGAAAGTACTAAAATAAGAGTTCCATATTTTTAACACTAAAATAGGACTACTGCCCTGTGTCATTCTAGTACTGTATATTGGTATTCCATAGTGTTTTTTGGTAATATATGTTGATTTTATTGGCATTGTAACTCTTATTTTGTGGATAAAAATATGGAACTCCTTTTTTGGTACTTTCTCCATGCTTTCCTAGTTTCGTCTTCTCGGTAGTGTTCATCCTAATGTTGATCTTGTTTTCCTTCAAAATCTAGCTCCCCTTTTGGGCTAATGACCATCGTCGGGTGCATTTGGTAGCTTTTTCTAGTCTTTATCCTCTTGGTAGTGTCCTATCTCCGGCATAGTGGTCATTTCCTAAACATTTGGAGCACTTGGTCTTGCTAGCTTTGTCCTCATTAGTTGATGGCTTTGAGTAAGCCGATAAAGCCTTATATGAGGGATGTGTATGGGGGATTCAAAATCAGTCTGTTTTGCCTTGAAATCCTCATTTGCTTTCCTCGGAGTGTATGCTGTTTTGCTCCTTGCCTTCTTGCATTGGAGCTTGTGTTCTTCCGTGATAGCAACCTGAAAAAGATCATCAATATCCAAATAGTGTTCCTTTCACTTTATCTCTAAGTTTGAGTAAGTCCTTTACCAAATTTAGACATGGTGGCCTCTGAATTCTCTTCCATCCCTATCTTCACTAAGACCTTTTGAAATTCTAGGTTGTATTCCTCTACGGTTTGACTCTTTGAGCATACTTATCTAGGCGTCGTCTAGTTGTCACCTAGGTGGTTGTGCGGTTTTCTAGATACGCCAGATAGGCGATGCCTAAAGGATTAGGTGATGAAGCAACATGCTTTTCTATGGCGTCTGTTTGGCAATAAGGTGATGCCCAAAGGGTTTGGCGATGAAAAAAAAAGACTTCATCCTGCGCTTACTGCTTATAACCCTAGGCGGGTGCAGAAACAGGTCATTTTCTCATCGTACAAACAGAGAAATATTCTTAGTTCAGGGATGGTTTCTTAATACTGTATTTCCCATTATTTCTTGATATATTTTTATATTTTTAAATAGAAAGATATGAAGTAGCTTTTATTATGGTATTTATTTATTTGAATAGACTTGCTCATTTCCTGTTTTTTGCTCACCTCGTTCCCTGGCTCATCTCCTGTTCTTTTGATTTATTTTTTTATTTATATATTTTCAATATTTTTTTGCTATTCATTTATTTAAATTCAAGTTATATGAACTCACAGATACTATCAAAAAAAATATATTTACACTTTGACTTAGTGTGACTTTAATTTTAAATTTTTTAAATACACTTCATTTTTTCATAGTGTTCTGATTTTTTATGGCCTTAAGTAGCAAATGTTGGTATTAATATACTTTATAATTATATTATTCATACTATATGCTATTACATTACTACCTAGAAAATTATGAACCTCATCATACCCTACTCTAATGGACCCCTAGGTGGGCGCAAATTGCCTAGGCGATCTGATGGTACTCTGGCGTCTGGCCTCCCATAGGCGCCGTAACAACTATGCAGGAGAAGAAAAAAGCAGAAAGAAGGAAAAAAAACCGAAGGAAGGCTATTAGAAGTCTATTGGCAGGAGAAGTCTGGATTCCCAAATAAATAGAAGATAAGGCTGATAGCCTGATATTACGCTGGTTTCCGATTTAATTTGGGAATAAATAAAAGAAGAAACACTGTTTCCGATCAAAATTGGGAGTCGCGACAGACGCGACTTTCCAATTGCAATTCCGGACGCGATTGGGAGAAGATTTCGAAGCGACGCTATTTGGGCTTCTCACAATCGGCGATTGTATGCGCTCCTGCGTTTTCACGATCCGAATCGCCGATCCAGACGATCCGAGTGGATTACGCGATTCTGCAGCCGCGCCGGATCGAGAAGCTCCCGGCGATCCTCAGACTCATAGACTCGTACGAGTCAACTCGCGAGTTTGACTACCATGCCCCTACCTATTTTTATTGTGTTGTTAGCTTCTTGCATGCTTTGCTTTTTTGGTGCTGTTGTGTAGGTGTAGTGGCGTTGGTTAGCAATGCAGATCTAAGGTCATATCCCGGGGATGGGACTGGAGAGGGAGGCGCGCGGAGCAATGTTTAAAACTGCATATTGCGGTTTTGAGGTGTTTTTATGTCGAGGCGTATTGAGGCATAAGCCTCAAATTTAATGTTCGAAAGTATGGATATAACATTGTAAGCAATCTGTTTAACTAAAAAACAAGACTAAAAATTTATGTACATACAATTTTCAAGATTGAATGACAAATTAATAAGAATAAAAATAAAAACCTTAAATCAATTACAAATTAGTTTGAATAAATTGCTAACATTAAACAAATACACGCGGGTAAACATAGACCTGGCAAAACTGACCCGGACCCGATAACCCGAACCGAATAACCCGGAACCGAACCCGATTTGACCCGAAAACTAAAGAACCGAAATAGAACCGAACACCCGAAATGATCCGAACCGAACCGAACCCGAACAGAATGTATTCAGACCCGATTCAGACCCGAATCTGATTAAACTCGAACCGATTAAACCCGAACCGATTAAACCCGAACCCTGTTAAACCCGGAATCGATTAGACCCGAACCCGATTAGACCCGAAATTGATCAAATTCATTAATATTTCATTTATCAAATGAATTTGGAGAAAATGAATTACCTATATATTTTTACATATGTTGATGTGTTTCTAAAAAAACATATTTAAATTATGGGTGCAAACCATGTAACTACTTTCATGTACAAATCTTTTACTTTGCATTTTATAACTTAAGTTAAAATACTTTTGTATTTTTATAGAAAGTATATAAAAATTATAGTTAACTAAATTAACTAAATTTATTATGTGATTTATTTCATTTATTAGTATGTATGTGTTTACATTATACTTGAACTAATATAAATTTAAACCGATATAAACTCAAATCTATATAAACCCAAATCAATACAACCCGAATTGATACCATAGTTGTGAATGGCGAATGGCGAGTGGCAGGCGAGAGGCTCTTTTTTATGGCGAGAAGCGTGGCGAGCGGCGGGCGGTCAAATGGCGAACATTATATAAATAAATAAATATATATATATATAAATATATATATAAATAAATATATATATATATATATATATATGGTTTAAATCTAAACTTTTAGTCTTAACTTTGTATCAAACATAATTATCAAAGTAAAGCATGAGTTATTGGTAAAAGTTAAAACAAAAATCAAAATTTAGTTCTTAAAAAGAAAGCAAGATATTTAATCATAATCCTCATCCGTCAAATCCAAGCCACCATCATCCAAGTGATCCAACTCATTGCTAGCACCAACAAATTCAGTCTCTTCTCCATAATCATCTTCCTCAACTTCTTCAAACTCCTCATGAATAACTTCTCGAATGTTAGTAGCTCTTCTTGGTTGTGGTTGTGGTTGTGGTGTTGAGCTACTCGTGCCGGTGGTGCCACTAGGTGCTACCCTACGAGTATAGTAGATAGGCTCTTCTGCTCCTGATGCTCTAGAAATATCACCCACTGTGAGATCATGAATTGTCTCCTCGGAGCATTCTTCACCAATGAACCACTCACTACAATCATCTATGTCCTTCA